TTGTGATAGGCCCAGGACCGAATTGTCACATCCAGTGCAAGTTAGGGTATGGTGGAGTTGTATTTTGCAAGTTTAGGACTAAATCATCACATTCCATACAAATTAGGGTACCTAGGGTGCTTTTACCTCCAAACAAGAATACACCCCTCACCTCGGACTCTCGCCTGATATGACAGTACCCACCCACGTCGCCCTGCCCGGTCAGCCCATCGCCTTGCACAAGTCCAAGCCAATCGCATCGCATGCAACGCTCAACCACTCAGGAACTGAGGTAGCGCACGCCAACGAGCGACCCAACACGAGATGGACCTGAGCACAAGGGTGGCCCAGTCGTCATCTACTTTAATCCAAACACACAATGTACAGAAAAATGAACGTCCAGATGTTTACCAGGGAGACAAAAAAGTACAGGTAAGTGGACAGCAGTGCAAATTTTGCCGGCCGGATGAATTGGAAAACGCAAATGCCCCAGTTAGGCGGGTTGCATAGCGGGATTTATATGTTCAATAGCTGGCTTAGATTATAATTTAGACTCGGGGTTTCTTGTATTGTGCAGCCATCGCTACAATTCGCATCTACGAGACATGTAGGACTACCTCCTTGTCAGATCCACAATGGAACCCCAACTTTTCATCTAGTTCATGTGCTCAGTTTATTATCCGCAATTTCGGATTGCACTTCACCTTTGTTTTTGTCGGTTCTTCGGTTGCTTGTAGGAACTCGAGCCTCGTTGTTCAGGTTGATCGTGCCTACGGTAAGGTCAATAACCATCGGAGTTTGGTTTAGCGATTGTCGAGGCGTACCGTCAGGTACGGTATAGCCAGATCGTCAAGGTCAAAATCCACCAAATCGATAATTATCCCCACTCTCGTCAAAAGATCGGGCCGCTGTCACATCAGTTTATATTCTATGCTATAACTGCTATGATCCTGGAATATGCAATTCGGTGGAAAATTCATATGCACATGTGGAATGGTAAACAGTTAAGTAAAAAGTTCCTAGTCTTTGCCTATAGGACTAGCTCAAGTGTTTTTGGTGATCATGTTTTCCAGATCTTAGGATATCATTAAGTGTAATGATAGTCTTAAAACAACATTGAGATTGTGACATTGGAAGATCAATCATATTGAATCGACCCAGACTTGTTTGTTGTGACTTGGATTAATATTGTCTTTATTCAATTGCAATAACACGGAGTGTTAACATGTGATCTTGTTCCTCAGACCATGAGAGTATCATGGTCACTTCTCAACATACGACGGGCTTTGGGGTTGCTCAAACGTCACCTGAAACACGGTGATCATAACGACAACTTACAGGTTCATCGGAAAGTTTGACAAGTGGCCAGATAGCTCAAGAGTGGGATTTGCTCCTCCGATGATGGAGAGATATTCTTAGGTCCCTCTCGGTGTGACGGTGTCACTCATCGTCTGGCCAGACACAAGTGACTTCGTCACAGGGATGCCGGAACATAATAACGAGAAAGAAGAACAAAAGTTCGGTAACGAGAATTCAGTATAGTGAGCATAGTAATGACTCGAAGGATACCGATGCATCCCAGGTTTTGTGAAGTATCTTGAAGCAAAGGGAACATCACATAATAATCAAAGGTTCACTCGAATATCATTCGTGTACTCACAGGGACCGATATGGACATCCGCGGTCCCGCTGTTAGTCATTGAACGAACGGTTTCGTTCATGTCTGCGTGTTCCCAAACCTATGGGGTCACAAGCTTAAGGCAATCACAATCTACTGAGTGTTAGTAGGATGGGAGTCGTGAGAATATATTTGTGAAATTATTTCATGAATATTTGGAATAGTTCCGAGAGAATCCGGAAGCATTTCGAGGTCATCGAAAGGGTTTTAGTGAGTATCAGGTAATAACAGGTATTACCGATAAATTATATATATATGTGGAAAAAGTTTCCAAAGATGTTAAATATATATATATATATATATATATATATATATATATATATATATATATATATATATATAGTGGTCTAGAAGTATTTAGAGCATTTTATATTTAATTTAAATATCAACGGGCCTAAAAACACCAAAGATGTCGAAGGCAACTTGGGCCATAAAGGCCCAAGTGGGGGAAAGGAGGCCGAACTAGAAGAGGAGGAGGACTCATACTCGTCCTCCCTGGCTAGTGCACCAAGGGGGAAACTTTCCCCCTTTGGTGGGAGCCCTCCGTCTCCCCTCTATCCTATATAAACATGAGGATTTGTGCTCTTTTGGATCTACAATTTTTGGAGCCTCCTCTGGTTCTTCTAGTTCTAGTCCTAGTTGGTCCTAGTTGACTAATTGAAGCTAGAGTAATCCTCTTGTACTCATAATTATAAGCCCTGTGTGGTTCTAATCTCCTCCTTCTAATTCTTCGGTGATGATTTGCTTTGGATGGCGAAATGCTGCTGGATCTTGAAGGTTGCATGCTTGCAACCAATTAGAGAGGCCGTGCTTTCGGTATTCGGTTTGAGGGACTGTTTCTGGGCGGTTCGTGGGATCATTCATCGACGGTTTGAGGGACTCCAAGTACGATCTAGGCCGGCACATCCTTCTTTTGCTGCAATTCGGTGACGGTACCGATCGTGATCCCAACCTGTTATGCATCTTCATATTGATCTTGGGTGATCGTAGGCGCGATTTCTTGTTTTCTACTATGTTTCCCAACAATGGGTTCAATCTAGCGGTGATTTCTATATCCTAGTGACAGAAAGGGACACGTCTTTGTATTGTTGCCACTAAGGATAAACAATGGGGTTTAATCTTATTGCTATATTTCTTTCTGTCTACATTATGTCATCTTGCTTATTGCGTTCATTTGTTTCTTGCAAACTTAATACTTTGAGATGCATGATGGATAGCGGTCTCCGGGTGGAGTAATAGTAGTATATGCAACTGAATCAACGGTCTACTTATCATAGACGTAATGCCTACGTGAGATAATGCCATGAACTATCATAGTTATAAATTGCCCTATTATGTCAATTACCCAACAGTAATTTGTCTACCATGCCACTACCTATTTTTGAGATGCCACTAGTGAACTTATGGCCCCATGTCCATTATCCATTAATACAAAGCTATTATAAATTTGCTCTTTTACATTCCTTTTACTTTTTAGCTCTTTGATATTATCACTATCTATTGCTTTTAATCTTGTAACTAGCAAGACAATGTGATTACTAACCTCCTAGTCAGGCTGGGTGCAAGCATTTGTATTGTGTTTGTGTGCAAGTGCTGTTTACATTGTTAGCTTGGTGAGTCCTACTGGTTCGATAAACCTTGATTCTTAACAGGGGGAAATACTTTATGTTGTGCTACATCACCTTTCCCCTTGAGGGAATCCAACAACTCCTACGGGAGTAGCATCGTAGTACAATTTTTGGGACTATGCGTGGCACATAGGGATGATTCAATAGATTAATATTAGAAAGACAAGTTTGAGGTGGTTTGCTGTTAAGCACACCTACGGAATTTCTTCTTACTTTCTTCGATAAAAAATAGAAACTTTGGATCAACTCTCTATTGCACGTGTTGAGGGATTATCATGATGTTGAACTATGTTACTCCCTCCGTTCACTTTTGTAAGACGTTTTAGGCATTTAAAACAACACCCAAAATAGTTCGATTTCAGATGTCTTAAACGTCTTACAAAACTAAACAGAGGGAGTAATGATGTTGAGAGGTGGCAATAGCGAAAGTATGAACCATGTGCCTTGTTTCCACGCATTCAAACACTATTTAACTCATTTTTGTTACTTGTTACGTTGATATTTTTATTTATTCAGATTAGAAAAACATATTTCTACCATCAATATCGCACATCTATCATTATCTCTTTACCGAATTAGTGCACCTATACAC